CAAAAGATATACCATTACATCAAATATGTAATATGTGTATAAAACACAAATACACAGAATATTTATCTGTTGTAACCTGTAGTTAAATGTTAATATAAAATAATATTATTGAATTTTATCGAAGGGCTCGTATAAAAAAAAAAAACGTTTAACGATTTATATTCGAAATAATTTGTCAATCGTTAGTAAATTAAAAGAAATAATATTGTTGTTGTGTTACATTTATGTGGTTCGAGAACGATAATTTTCAGAATTCCGCAGTGACAGTGTGACACATTATTTCAAATCTATCATATTAACTTTTATTTAAAATATTATGATTTAATTTATTATAATAACATCATGTGCATTGTAATTAATTATATTTATATTTTTYGTAGGCCTGCCTGGTTCGTTAGCAAATATTAAACTAATGTACTTATAGAGCCCACGTTGTGTTGATGATAATAATTTTCGAAGATAACTATTGAACCATTTACAATATATAGGTACACTACGAAAAAMCAAATCATAATGATATATAAACTTACCGTTTGTGTCTATTATGTACTTATTTCAAACTAYTTATGATATACAAATGTAAKTCATCTCTGTTTATAACTGTATAAATTAATATTATAACTTATAACCTACATATCCCTAAAACATAGAACTGAAACACTCAACAGTATATTTGAGCTGCGTTTGCCATTTTTTCAAGTACGTCATTTTGGCTTGGGACCGTCGATAATATAATGCACATCAAAATATAAGGCGCTAAAAGTCTATTTTATGGTTACCGTAGATTGTAGAATACCCACTTAAAATATAAATCACATTAAAATTTGACGTATGTAAAAGTGCCTATAATAATGATACTCATGACTTATAATAGGCCAATGGTTACACAGAGTATATTCATAACATTATAATAAAGTCAATTTTACAACGAGCTAAAGTACTGTAGTTGTAGTAGTACACATGCCATTGTAATAACAATTGCCACATTTCACACGTGAACATCAAACGAGTTAAGTAAAGTGTATAATATAATTTGCGCAAAATGAAATAATTAATATAATTTTAAAACATTACATACTTAACTGGTGTACACATAGTTATTCCCACTGGCTCTAATAAATGATAAAATAATATTATTGAAATAAAACATAATAATATTAGTATATTAATATCAAAATAATATTTTTGAATTTACTGCCACGCAAATGTAATATCAAATCATTACAAAACACAAAGTAAAAGTTTTTTTGATTTTCTCTATACATGATATTTTTTTTTTTAAATTTACGAAATGAAAAAAAAAATGAAACATACGTGGAAATCTAATCTCCAGTCAGGAGGGTTTCCGAATCTAATGATTGAATTTTTAAATTAAAGAAACTCAAATTCAACAGGTATCACAGTTTTTAAAAATTTAAAAATTTAATAATTTAATAGGCAAATACGTATATTGTGAGAACCCATAAAATAGGTACCCACTTTATTTCTAAATTTAATTCAATTTTTAACTTTTAAAAACTTTTTGCATAAACATTTTCACAAATAAAAAACTTCTGTGAAGACTTTTAAAAATATTTTAAATTCTCTAAGTATCTCGCATTATAAGATTAAAGATACTTCACTATTGTGGCTTATATTATTTACTACCACACCGACACCGGTATCAAGATATTCAAAATTGTGTTTTTCATACCATTATATTTTTTAAGTGACGTAATCTATAAAATAAAAGTGGTTTATTTTAGTTATGCTATACATCACAAAATATATTATAAACCATATACGTTATACCATATGCATATGGATGATCACATTATATGATTTTTAAGTGTATAACTATAAACCAAGTGATTGAAAGTGGTAAGATAATTTTTTTTAAAGTGATGTTAGTGGCATACTTTTTTGTTCCTATGACAGCATTTAAAAAGAATGACATAACAATAAAATATTCCTTTATGAATATAACGTAAAATTCGATACTCTAAACAATAATTTTTACTATAATTTACAGTTCATTACATATAAAATAATTATTTTTTATCCTACGAGGAAATAAATTAGTAACGTTTTAATTAAAAAAAATAAATTTAAACGTCTAAAATACTGAAACAACAACCCTTCATAGGTAACTTGTGTTACAAATGTTTTATTTGTGGTTATGTGGAAAATTTTTTTTCGTGTAACATAGATGCATCAAAAGTATGTTGTGGATTTTCTGCAATCCTTGCGTATCTAGTTATATACCAGTGTCATAGATTAAAATATAAATTTATGTTATTTTTATAAGTAAAATTATATGTTAATACATTTTTTTAAATTTTAGTTGTAGTCTTCTACAAATAATTGAAATTTCATTTTTTCATATAATATATCTAATACATTTTATTTTAAATGTAGGTATACTATTTATTATGTGTCATGTATTATAATACGCCATGTTTTTACCATCTAAAAACATTAATATAAAATACAAATACAACTAAAAATATTTCCAATGTTATTGTTTCGATTACATTAAGCTATTAGTGGTAGTATTTTCATGAAAAAATAACTTGATAAATAGTACTCAACGTTATAATGACCTAAAAAATATATGTTTTATATTATAAAATAATATAAATAAGTTTCAGTATCGATGTATCACGAGTATTCAATATAAGTAACCATTATAAGTTATAACCTAAAGGAGAGTTTAAGTGAAAAACATTTTTACCAAAACTCACATTGAATCTGCTACCCGTCACTTACGATGTAAATGTATCACACAATAAACTATATAGATATCATAAAATATTCATGTGAATGTGTTTTTTTAAATTGTTATGCTTTTTTTATCGAACGTATGGTATGTAGAACACAGAATGAATATTTTTAGCGACTTTTTGTTATTATAAGCGTCATCCTTTGTTCGACGTTCACTCTAACTGAGTCACCCAAGTGATTCGAGAATGATGTTTATAAGAGTATATTTACAAACCCACCCAAAAAAAACTAATAATAAATATTTAGGTATTATAAATTATAAAATATTATACATAAAGGTACGAATTATTTTATTTTATTTGAAGTTTTTTAAAACTTTAATAGTACTTCCAACACTGCTTATATTTTTAATAATTTATTCTTAGGAAATAATTAATCGTAACAATATTTTTACAAATGTTTTATGCATTTTTTTCAATTGTTATTACTTTCTATATAGGAATTTGGAAACGTTTATACTTCATAACTATACTATATTATGGTATATTTTGTATATAATTTCTTAACCTGAATACATTTATTTTGTAGTATAAATATTTGTTTAGTTGTCGATCAAGTTGGCACTGGCACAATACGCTAGGACTATAATATAATTATAATATCAAAAATATTGCTATGAATTTGTTAGATTTTGCTTGCTCACCATCAGAATTTGCTAGTATCTCATTTAAGTGTAAATCAATATTTAAATATGCCGGTGCCAACTTGACTCAGTACCTGTACGGCGGCACATTGTCCGATCGGCCCGAAAGGTGGTATCAAAATAGGTATTGCAAGCAAATTGCTAGATTTTTGCTACGTGTTTTTTTTGAATTTGCTAGATTTTGTTTTTTCCGGAAACCCGACTCAGCACTGGCACATTGTCCGATCGATGTCCGTCAAGTTAGCAACGGCACTTAGTGCTAGAACATCAAACCATATATAGTATATAATATATATATATTTGCTATGAATTTGCTACATTTTTCTACGACAGTTTCAGAATTTGCTACTAGCTTGATTTTCAGTAATTCCGGAAACAAACATGCCAGTGCTATCTTGATGTAGCACCGGCACATTCTTTAATCGACTCAAAACTGGATCGAAAATTCGCTACATTTTGCTACGCTATTTTTAAAATTTGCTACAGTCTGGTTTTTCTGGAATATAGGAAAATAAAAATTTTACAGCACCAGCACTTGGCACCAGCATTTTTTAGTTTTCCGGTATTCTAGAAAACCAGACTGTATTAAACTCTAAAAATTGCGTAGCAAAATGTAAAAAATTCATGGCAAAATTTTGATACTAATGTCGTGGTATTCGAATAATAGGCCGGTGCTGGAAATTTTTCATTTTTTCGGTATTTTGATACCATTTTGAGCCTATCGGACAATGTACCGGTGCTAAGCCGCTTTTCATTTTCCAAGTTTCCAGAAAAACCAAAGTCTAACAAATTCAAAAAATTACTTAGAAAAATCTAGCAATTTACTAGCAATATTTTGATATCACTTTCGTGCCGATCGAACAATGTGCCGGCACTGAGTCAAGTTGGCACCGGCATATTTAAATTTTGATTTACACTTAAATGAGATTCTAGCTAATTCCTATCAATTTTTTGATATTATAATTATAATCCTAGCGTAGTGTGCGGTGCCAAAATAATCGAAATAATATGATAGGTAGTTATTTAAATCTTAGTAATTAATCTGCAGTATATTGAACAATGATGAATAAAATGTCACTGCGTCAAATATTTTATTAGACCGATAAAAAAAAATGAGGATTTTTGCGATTTAGATGATTTCTTTTTAATATTTCAAACTGATATTAATTGTTGTGCTTAAATAGTTTAAAAAGTTTTTGTAAGTAAATTAGATACAATAATGGTTTTCCGAGTGCTATGTTTATCATAACAACTAATAATGTGATATAACAACGTTCAAAAAACGAAACGTATGTAACTTCATTACGTTAGCATGAGCTTGAAGGCAATGAAAGTAATGATAACGTGTCTTAGCATCCAGTCCAATTGAATCAATTCCAAAGATTTCATAAAAATAAAAAATAAAAATACCATGCATCATGAAGCAGGTTAGCCTACTAACTATCAGATACTTATCAAAAAATCGTTCGTCTATATATTATTATAAAATAACTGCTTTCCCTTTGGCCAAGGATCGTGTAGGGATGTACGTACGCATTTGGTTATCTGAAGTGTCACACAAAAATATTAATTTTTGGAATTCGGTTGCACGTAGGTTACGGAACGGGCCATGAACGGTTCGGATTTTGGCGGAGTCAACTCGACCGACAACGGAACCGATGGCGTGGCGTGGCCGGATAGCAACCAATTCGAGTTGCCGTGGTGGCACCAGCTGGCATGGACGGTGCTGTTTGTGCCCATGATAATGGTGGCCACTGGCGGAAACCTGATCGTCATATGGATTGTCATGACCAACAAACGAATGCGGAACGTGACAAACTACTTTCTGGTGAACCTGTCCATAGCGGATGCCATGGTATCGACACTCAACGTGTCCGTAAACTTTAGTTATATGCTGACCAGTAACTGGACGTTCGGTACGGCCTATTGCAAGATCAGTCAGTTCGTGGCCGTGCTGTCCATATGCGCCAGCGTGTTCACTCTGATGGCCATTTCTATCGACAGGTACGTATCTGATGTAATATTATCACTGCTTTTTGTGAAGTAATTCACTCAAATGTCCCTCGAATCTAACACCTACCAATATTTTTACCGGATATTCGGTTTTAAATATTATATATAATTTATTTTATATAAATTTAAAAAATATTATTTATTTATAATGAGGGGGGGGGTATAAATAGTTCTACTTTAAACCTATAATGAATGTTGGAAAGTGATTTAAACGAGAGTTTGAAACATCTTAACCAATATCTTAAACAATGTATGTATGCTTGAAAAACACATGAAATTTACATTTTAGGTTTAGGTATTGTATATAAAATAACTTTAATCGTGGTTAACTCAGGTCGATCACAGATGATGTAATAATATAAATAATCTAGTAATAATAATTATTGATTTGCATAGAATTAAAATAATATAAACATCATGTTTTATAAGTTAATACTCATATTACATAATTTGATCAACTACTTATAAGCTAAGATTTAAGTTGAATTTTTTTGATTATAATAATAATATTRATATCCTAAATAGATAATTACAATAAAAAATATAGTTTGATATACATAATAATAAACAGTTAAATAGGTGGTCTCGTCATTAAGGTTTTGCGTAAAAATTCCCATTTTTCTGTCATTTTTTTTTTTGTTTTTCTCGATTTTTTTGAAAAATGTTGGAAAATGTTTACTATTTACTTCTATAATGCACCAAGGATATTCACTTTTACATCGTAAACCACCCCCAAAGTTTGAAATTGAAGCATTATTCCGACTAGTTATGCTGAACATCGACATAAAAAAAAAACACATCATTGTAAAATCAATACATTCATCACTTCATTCAGAATTTAAAATCACGAAAATTCGCAAATTATTTTAATCTTTAAATTCATAAAGTATTTTTCTTTTATATCTAAGATTTGAAAATTTAATACAAGGCTTATAATATATTTTTACAATAGCAGTTGAAAAATAAAAGAAATATATTATAACCACAATTTTTTTTTACATGTATTCAAATTTTAATTTTGACAAAATACGTAAAAATCACGAAAATTCGCAAATTATTTTAAGCTAGAAATTCATAAAAAATTTTCTTTTTAAATCTAAGATTTGAAAATTTTTAATAATCTATAATATATCCTAGACAGATAAACCGTCTCCGTTCAGAATCGTTTTTCGTATACAATGATAACTATCATTGCATTCAAATTTAACCTACCCTAGTCAGAGGTCCACCCTACCCCCTAATGTACAGCAAAGCAATAACCCACTTTTTTATACATATAAATAGATAGCTGTATTACCCGGCGTTATCCTGGGAAAAAATAGTGATTTATACTGTAAGTGATAGTTGCTTTCTTTCGTCGAATTTTTCATTTTGATAACGCTAAGACACATGTGCAGATGACAACTCTCTCTATCTGATGCATATTACGTACAAATTACATGCGCAATAAAATAAAAAATAAAACGAAAGAAAGCAGTGAATACAACATAATATCTAAATTGAAATAGGCTGTCAACTAATAAAACCCTTACCTCGTGTTTTATATTAAACTTAAAAAAAACTACGTTTTTTGAAAAGTAATTTTTATTATTATGGAAAAATACTACATAACTACCGATTAACCAATATTTCTTTATAATTAATATTATTAGTTTTTCATCAGGGGCATATATGTATAAGTTTGTCTGAGCTCACGCCGGAGCAGGCAACTTAAAATTGTCCATGAGTGAAGCAGGGATCGCTGATGTCAATTCCTGCAACTTTCATTGTCTGTTCTTGTGCCTTATTAATTGACATAGTAAAATAAAGTTTAACGGGTCATTGGACACGTTTAAATTTCGAATGGATACTCGTTTGTTATTATTGGTATTCTTGGGATATATACAATTTGACCACTCACTGAGCCGGTAAGAATTTCTGCTTCAATAAGGTTTTTTTTTCAAAGATAATATTTTGAATCTTGTTTTATTGCACAATTTGGGAGCATTTAAATTTCGTATGAGAATAATAAACGCACCAATTTTTAAATCAAGTTTGTGTGGAGGGATACCTGATGGATTTAATGAGTTAAGAAATTCATTCGGGATATTTATAGCTTCATCTTGATTAGTAAGTTTATCTATAGAAATATAGTTTTTTTTAATAGCTTTGAACATGGAAAGAACTTTTTCGTTTCGTTTTCGAACTGTAGTGATTGTGGAAACCCAGAATGCTTACCATGTTGCCAAATCTACGTAGCAGGCAATTATTTATAAGAATTTATAACTTCTTTGTTTATTAAGTTAGAGAATCAATCAAATGCCATAAACCGTCTCCGTAATGAGCTTTTGTATTTAAAAACAAAAATCATGGATTTAGTAGACACCGACAACGATCAATCAGATAACATAGAAATTGATACRCCGGAGGTAAGACAAAAAATACCACCTCTCTATGTTTACGATATCACAGATTATATTCACTTTCGTGACACATTAACACCAATGATAATAGATGAGTTTAGCATAGCCAACAAAAATACTGTCTTGAGACTTAATCTCACATCGGTCGATGACTACCGCACTATCACTAAATATTTTACCGAAATTAAAATAAAATATCACACGTATCAACTTCCAGAAGACCGAAACTTATCCATCATAATTAGAAACCTTCCCACATCTATACCTAAAGAACAAATCTTTAATGCAATTACAGATTTAAATTTCACTGTTGTCTATGTAACTCGTCTCCAAAATAAACATAAATCTCCCATACCGATTGTAGTGGTACTACTCAAAAAAACGGCAAAAAATATATTTTTGGTAGATCGTCTACTAAACTGTATTATTTCTATCGAAAACCGTAAAACTGATTTTAACATACCTCAATGCAAAAATTGTCAAAGATTCCAGCATACCAAAAACTTCTGTAAGCTTCCGCCCAGATGCGTAAAATGTTCGGCAGATCATCAATATTCCGCCTGTACAAAAGACTCATCTACCTCCCTACCTGTGTAAATTGTCTAGGGAATCACCCAGCCAATTACCGAGGTTGCGCAGCTTATAAACTTTAAAAAAAATAAATCTCGTCAAACAAAATCAAAAAACTCTACTACCCATAAACAGTCTGATACCGAAGTTAATATATATAGCAACATTCACCCATCCACGTCACGAATTGTTACATCTAATCACCTCTCTAAGAATAGCACAAACCCACCTGTCTTCAGTAATAACAACAAACAGTCCTATGCTGAGATAACAAAAACAAATACCTACRAACACCAGCAACCACYTCCCTTCCAACCAAATATCCAAAGCGAGCTTCTGCAGTTACTAATGCCTACCATAAATTCTCTATTGCAAGAAATTATAAAAAAAGTCATCGAATATATTCCAACGTTATTAAATCAAGTAAATGGCAGTCAACTTCAATAATATTAATAATGCAAATTTAGTTGTCATAAATTTGAATGCCAATGGACTTAAACAAAATAGAAATACTTTTGCTGCATTTTTGAACACCCACAATGTAGATATAGCCTGTATAAGCGAAACGCATTTAATTAATACAGATAAAATAAAATTTAATGGCTATGTCACTTTTCGCAAAGACAGATTAGCAGTTCAACCTTCAGGYGGCGTAGCTATTATAATTAAATCTAAAATAAAACACCATCACACTTTTATAACTGTTCTACAATCACTGGTAGCAGTGGCAATTACTATATCTATCAACAATGTAATTATAACTCTAATTAGCGCATATCAATCACCAAGTTTTATAATGTACACAAATGATTTCGAAAAAATTCTTTGCAGTTTTCAAAAAGTAATGATTATTGGTGACCTGAACTTCAAACATACCACTTGGAACTGCAAAACGACAAACCAAAATGGTCGTAAATTACATAAATACCTTTCAAATACTTCAAAAATTATCTCTTCACCCGACTCCCCCACGTATTATCCATCCGACCAAAATAGAAATCCGGACATACTAGACGTAATTTTATTAAAATCAATACCTCTATCAATTCATCAAGAGCCTCTATTTGAATTTGACTCAGACCACCTGCCTGTAAAAATGACAATAGGAGCGCCATAAGTGTATCTACAAAATCACCTAAACTTATAAACGGCAAACCAAACTGGGAAAAATTTAAAACCTATATAACTCATACTATAAAAATCCCGAAAAACATAAATAACACTTCTGCAGCTGACGAAGCCACAAACCATTTCCAGGAAATTATCCATCTAGCAGCGTAACATTGTTCAAAACCGTCTTGTAACATATCCCAAAATTATACATTTTCTCAAACAATACCAACTTCTATTCTTAAATTGATAGAAATAAAACACCAAACCAGGAGACTGTGGCAGCTCCATAGGCGAACTGTAGACCGAAAAAATCTTAATTATCTCACTAAAAAAGTCAAAATTTTACTGGAAGAAAATAGAATAACTTCATACCCAAATTTCTTATCTACAATTCATCCTTCGGATTCAAATTTATGGCTCGCTACCAAACGTTTAATCAAACCAAACTCTGGTGTTATGCCTCCGTTAAAATCGGATAACGTCTACATAAATTCAAATGTTGAAAAATGCGAACTCTTCGCCAAAACCTTAGAAAATACTTTCTCGCCGAACAATGTGGTAGATACCGAAACAGAAACCGCGGTGTACAACAAACTAGCTTAACCAGATATTTTTCCACAAAACATACTTCCCTACACCACTTCTACCGAAGTTAATGAAATAATAAAAAGATTACCAAACAAAAAATTTCCAGGACACGATCTCATCACAAATGCTATATTTAAAAAAATCCTAAATACAGCAATCACATATCTGTCTATTTTATTCAATTCATTAATAAGAATCGGCCACTTTCCAACTGACTGGAAAAAAAGCCTCAATTATAATGATAAAAAAACCGGGAAAAGATAACACAAACCCTAACAGTTACCAGCCCTTAAGACTTAAGTCTACTATTTTCAGACTCCAAAATATTTGAAAAAATCATATACACCAGGTTAACAAAACATCTAGATGCAACTGAAGCCATTCCACATCATCAATTTGGTTTTAAACCGAAACACTCAACTATGCAACAACTCCTCTGCCTAACTGAACACATAAAAAATAATGGTTTTGAAGAAAAACTTCACACTGGTGCAGTTTTTTTAGATATTGCGCAAGCTTCTTATCGTGTCTGGCACGACGGCCTACTGTTCAAATTAAAAACTTTAAATACCCATCCTGCAATCTTTAATATAATTAAATCCTTCCTCTCTGACCGTTGTTTTACAGTTTGCATAAATGACACCAGTTCATAAATAAAAAAAAGTAACAGCTGGTGTTCCGCAAGGATCAAACATTTCTCCCCTGCTTTTTAATTTATATATCGCGGACTTTCCCACTACACCTAAAACAGAAGTTTCTTTTTACGCTGACGACAGTGTTGTCTATTCAAGCTCCAGTGACGTACACATTGCCAATAATAATATACAGTGCCACTTAAACAAAATAAAGTGCTAGGCGAAAAAATGGAAAATTATCTTAAACCCCTCAAAAAGTACAGCAGTATTATTTACACTTTGTAGCCCCAATAAATACCCCTCTCTCTTTAGTACTTAAGGGCGACTACATATCCTGGTCTCCAACTATAAAATATCTAGGTGTTATCTTAGATAAAAAATTAACTTGGAACCCTCACATTTCTTCAAAACTCCAACAAGGCTACCAACGACTCAAAATTCTTTACCCCTTAATCAACCGTCAAACCGCCTTAAGCTGGAAGTGCTCCATGCTTCTTTATAAGTAAATTCTACAACCATTAATACTGACACGGTACGCAGCAGCAGCCAGTACAGAGTACAGGCACCGCCGCGACCGATCTACGACTTTATCAACCACCACCACGGGTGACAACGACGCGACACCGTCGACTCTCCCTCCACGCCGGAAAGGCTAGGTGGGACGCGAAGACAAGTCGCGCCGGACGAGTACCGGCCGCCGACGGGCTCTCTCTCGTTCACCGACATCCGTGTGATATACGGTAATTACGTCGATCGTCGACACGACCCGCACGGACATAAAAGCCCGCAGGCTTTTTATTTTGTTCTACAACACACTGTCGTTGCATAGTTTTGTGTATTGTATATTTACCGTGTAATAGAGATTATCATATATAATAAATATTCATCAATATACGAGTTCAATTGAGGTCTGAGTTTATCCTACCCTACTCCACCACATATCGCTACCGGCCTATCACGGACACCTCGACACCGCCGTCGTAGCCGCGTCAATACTCTATGCTGCTCCCAGCTGGAGTAACTGTGCCAAAACTCACATAAATAAAATTCAAGTCTTCCAGTCCAAGATTCTACGCATAATATCCAACGCGCCGTGGTTCGTCAGAAACGAAGCACTTCATACAGACTTCAGACTCCCGATGGTTAAATCCTACATACAGTATCTCTCAATAAATTTTTTTAGCCAACTAAACAACGCCAAAAGTGCAAA